CCCCCCCCCCCCCCCACCTTCCGACGTCACCACCACCTGTGGAGGCGTGTGCCGCCCCCCCTCTCTCTCTCCTGCTATTCCTGCCGGGTAGAACACGCATGCAATCGAATACCGGCAACGCGAGGGTGGTTCGGCGGAGTGGACGGTAAGGGATTCCGCGCACCGACTGCTGCTGCACACACACAATTCAAAGCGAGGATTATTTATTATTTTCTCGCCCGCTGCGCCGTTCGACACACACTCGACTACCAAAGACCAAGAGCCAACAGCCTACCGGACACGCCTGCGCCGTGCAGAAAAATGAGCTGTCGCGCGCCGCGGCGCGCGGTGGCTCCGACAGCAGAGGCTTCCGCTCAAACATGCGGGCAGCCGGGACGGCACGAACAAGGCCGAGACACTGGCCTGTGCTGCTGGTGTTTGTTGCATAAAGGTTTCTTGAGTTTTTTTTGTCGTGTGTGAGCACGTACTACCGGAAAGCAGGACGTAGCGCATCTACCCTCTTCGCCATTCGGCGCGACGTCGTCGGCGAAGCCAAGTGGGAGGGCGCCTCAAAGAGAGACACGGCCCTCTCACCCCGCGGCATACCCTGTGCATCTATCAACGAAGGGAACTGAGATGTGCCAAAAACGGCGAGTAATTCGTTGAGGATCAGACCCGTATGGGACTCGTGTGTGTGCGCAGCTTGCAAAACCAAGAACGGGGGTCTTGCGGATAGCTACTCCGTAGGCCGTGCTTGTACTCGTCACCGAGAACCGGCACTCGCGAGCCTGCACCGCCGACACCCAACGCGCTAACTCGCGTCTGCTGCGGCTGCTGCTGCTGCTGTTGCTGCACTCGCGAGCTACTAAATTTCAAACCTCTGCCCGAGCACACAAGATCTACCAATCCAGAAGCATCACAACTACTCCTCACCTCCTTCGTCCGCGCCGGAAGGTCGGCAACTTCCAGCAGCGGCAACGATGCTGCTGCAGCTGTCGTGCGGCCGCGAAGAGAGCAAAACTTTGCAGTAGCAGCGGCAGCGGCGGCAATTTCCAGCTGGTCCGCGACAGATGCGAGCGGATCAAAGCTCCCTGAGTTCGTCTTCTGCTGCAAGGAGCGCCGCTGAGATTCGTCCTGACTGCCGCACGCCCAGTGAACCCCTACTATTTCACACTCCGTGCCTTATCCTAACACTAGCTCTCTGACTCTTGCCGTCGAGAGGTATCGTATGCATGCAGTCCTGTGAGTCCCCACGCACCGGAGCGCAGATCTCCTCTGGGGTTTCGTATGAATGCAGGAGGCGTTGTATTTCGAGCCCCGCCGCCCTGCCTGCGGGCCGAGTTCGCCAGAGCAAGCGAGCAAAAGTTCCCGCTCTCTCGCTGCTTACCTCTCCGTTGAAAAGCGTTGCAAACGCCACGGTCCTGCACATTCTTGCCTAACGGTTTACTTTGTATCGGGATCAAGCAACTGCGTGTGATTCCCTATCGAGTTCAGTTAACGCTCAAAGCTTGCAAGCGCGACTCGCACTTGGTGCTGCTGCTGATTCGGTGTTGGAGCCAGGGGGTGTTGCTTGCCCCAACTGCCTGCTGCGTAATCTAGCCCCGAGGAGCTCGGCGAGTGCCAAAGATGGAGCGCTTCCAGCAGCTTTTCAACATGCAGGGGAGAGGTCAGGGGGGAGGTGCACCGGATGCACCAGTTGTCGACACATCAGAAAAGCTTCACATATCTTCGTTGGCGCTGCTCAAGATGCTCAAGCACGGTGAGGTTTGGTTTGTTGCCATCGAACAACCGCCGTGTAGACTACATCGATAGGATAGGGTTCATTGTTGGTTGCTCTGCTGTTTTTACGCACAAGAAGGTTGCAAGATAGCAGTTGGGGGCTGCTGTGTTGGTATTATTCCCAGGAAAACATGTCGTTGTCCTCAGCTTGCAATCGATGTGCGGCGTAGTGTTGTCGGGCTCAACATGCCTTTTTTTGCCCGGGAACATCGCGATGTTGTGTGCGCTCCCTCTTCGTTGTTTCTTTTCAAGTGCAATCAACCGCCCTCTCACTGTTACGCCCGTCCATATCTTACCCTCTTGCGGCGTTCGCCTGTTCGTGGAGATGTGTTACTTGATAAGCCTAACGACAACACGCCCTACAGCCGTAAGAAGTTTTGAACTAAACATCACCTCCCGCCTAAATTTAGCACTGAATTTCACCCAGGGTGTTATCTTGCATCATGGTACGTGTTTCTGCATGCATCTGAAAGAAAGTTGGATGCACCTACCAGCGCCATCTATGTGAGTGCGTGTGACCGCCGACTTCGGCACAGCTCTTCCTTCACACGCTCTACGCGTCGACGTTTTCGATTTGAAGGCCTGGGGTCTGTATATGTAGCGCGAAAGTATAGCACACGTAACTAAAGCGTTCGAAAGTCGGACCGCACAAGGCAGTTGCCATCCGAAATAAGAAATAAAGAAGTGTTACTTATTGAACCCGATGACGAAACAATAGGTCAGAACACCCCGGGCGGCAAATGTGTAGTGCACCGCAAGGGGTACCATCCTAATTTTGTCCATTCGCGGATTGCGTCAGGCGGTTTTAGACTTCGGGAAACCAACGTAGGCAGGCGAATCCTGGCTCGCCGAAGAAGACATCTGCACAACTCCACCGCAAAACCGCGCACATTTACTATGGTAGAGTATTGCTGATAGCTTGGACATTCCGCTTGTCTCTCTTACAGTCCATACTTCCAAATATTGCTCTCTTTAACCGTAGCCGGCACTCTTGTTGCTACGATACGAAACGCTGCTGTCGCGACGCCGAACGACGACGATCAACGCGCAGGACGAGCTGGCGTGCCGATGGAGGTGATGGGGCTGATGCTGGGGCACTTCGTGGACGACTACACGGTAAACTGCATCGACGTGTTTGCTATGCCGCAGTCGGGGACCGGGGTGAGCGTCGAGGCCGTCGACCCGGTGTTCCAGACCAAGATGCTCGACATGCTCAAGCAGACGGGGCGGCCGGAGGTACCTACCTAACCCTACCTAACCTGTCCTCTCGATGGTCTAAGTTTTCTTCCAGTTTTTTTTTTTGCACATTCACACCGAGGTACCAGCTTACCCACGTCGTCCTTTGTTCTCGTTGGCCGAATCTTTTTTTTTCACTTCCCACCTAACGTTGTTGTGAGGCCGAGTCTCTTATTCTGGGGTCTTCGTGCGTTGCCTTCTTATCATCACTCCCTTTCTTTTTGGAGCCGGCCCGACACCGGCAGGTGGCACGCCTCCATCAGCGTCTGCCTATCCATCCCTCCCCTTTTGTTGACTCCCCCTCCCCCACCCCCTATGTCTGCCCTCCATCCGCCGTTTCGCGCTTTTACCCGGCGAAGATGGTTGTGGGATGGTATCACTCGCACCCCGGCTTCGGGTGCTGGTTGTCGGGGGTGGACATCAATACGCAGCAGAGCTTTGAGCAGCTCAACGCCCGAGCTGTGTCGATCGTGGTAGATCCCATCCAGTCCGTTAAGGGGAAGGTGAACAGCAGTGTTTATTTATTTTTTTTTCTTTCTTATGTAAAATAGGTGGTCTTACTATTGGATTTCTGTTGTTGTTGGCAGTGATGTCGGCTTTGTTTCCGGTCTTTTGGAATTCCTACTGCTGTTTGCGGTGCTCCTGTGTGTTGTTTTTTGTCTGGTTTTGTTTCCCTGCCGATCTCGCCTCGGCTTGTTATTTGCTGGTTGTCTGGTTGACGATTTTGCTTCTTCTGCACGACACGCAGTCGGCACCAGCAGCACAGCACCGCCCAGCGGGCGGCCGATACATAGCGTTGAGGGGCTAGGTGGTCGCGCAGCGCGATTGCTCTTTGCACTGTCGTGTGTCCACGCACAACGTGGTTCGGAGGTTCCTGTTTCTGCCATCTGCAGTCGGTGGTAGGCCAAAATCTCAAGTAACCGAAAACTTCCTTGCCCCTTCCCTCTCCCCGCAGTAGGTGGTGGGATTCGCGTCGCTGGTAGACTACTTGATCGATTCTATTTCCCGTGTGAGTTCGTGTGGCCAATTTCGATCTTTTACGTTGTCGATGGCTTCGGACCCTCCCCTCTTCAACACCCCCACCCCCCCAACGCGTGCGCGCGCTCTTGTCCGCTTGCCCGCGGCCGGCCCAGGTGGTGATCGATGCGTTCCGGCTGATCAACCCGCAACTCATGATGCTTGGGCAGGAGCCACGACAGACGACGTCCAACGTGGGACACCTGAACAAGCCGTCCGTACAGGTAGTTCAGCGCTTTGTTTCCGTCATGAATGTCTAGAGCAAAACACACAACGGGCGTGTGATTCGTTTTTACTTTCTTGCTGTGCTGATCTTGCACCTCGCTTTGTGCTGTCGCCTTTGTGTTATGTCGATCTGCAGTGTCGCGGTTTTCTAGCGCCTTGATAAATTCGGGCGAGTGCGCATGTTACGGTAAAGGTTGCTCAGCAGAGATCGGAACGGGTTTACTTTGAAGACAACAACAACAATTAAGACATCCGCATCAACAACAATGCCAACAGCAACAACAACGTTCATGTCCTTTCCCCCGGCTGTGTCCTCTCACAGCCAACCACCGCAGAGGGACAACTTCCCTTCATTGTTTTGTCGTTGCTGAATGCTGTGTCCTCTGCTCTATTCGACCCCGTCTTCTCTTGCCGTACTGGGGCTCCCACTATAATACTGCTTTCGCCCTCTTGTTGTGTCGTCTGCCTTTCGTTTTTTTTTTTTTGCGTGTGTCTTGTTGACGTGCTCACTGCGGCCGTGTCCCCAGGCATTGATCCACGGGTTGCAACGACACTACTACAGCATCGTTATCGACTACCGCAAGAACGAGCTCGAAGAGCAGGTGCCGTGTTGGACAGGGAGCGCGTCCACCGCAGCCAGTGCGGTTCCCTCTTCCTCAGTTTTTGGTTGTTCCAATCCCCAGCGCGGTTTCTCGCTGCCTCATTTTTTGGTTGTTTCAACCCCCAAACGGCTGCTGCTGCTGCTGTTGTCGTGGGATGGCCGTGTGGTGTGCCAAGTATGGCGTTGATTGCATGTGTCGTTACGGACCGCGCTTGCTCTCTTGTGTCTCTTTGGAGATGTAAGCGCTCAAGCTTTAAAGCTCGTACGCCACCTGCTAATACGTTTGAGCGCGTCGAACCATGGGTGAGTCCACCGTGCTGCTGTACACCATGTATACCCGTGGCGATAGGTTCTGACTGCCCGAGCAGAGCACATGTCATCGATTGTCTACACTCGGTCGATGGTCAAACGTATACCCCCTTCTCTAGGTCAAGTCCTTCGTTGCTGTTTCGCAGTCTTGACCCGAACCCCCACCTCCCCAACGCCCAATGGCGCCGCGTGTATGGACTCTCAAGGTTGTGACACCATCTCTGCTTTCACCGTGCTCCCCCTCGGCGTGAACTTGCACTGCGCGAACGAAACAGATGCTTATGAACCTCAACCGAGAGCAGTGGACGCAGGGGTTGGTGATGAAGCGGTTTGAGGACCACCAGACGTCCAACGAAAAAACGGTAGAGGTGAGTGAGGAGGTTGTTGTGTCGTCTCTCTCTCTCTCTCTCTCTCTCTCTCTCTCTCTCTCTCTCTCTCTCTCTCTCTCTCTCTTGCGACTTGTCTCTGGCGATGCGTTAGGTCGGTCTGAACTCACCTGGCAGCGTTTCACCACTCACAGCAGTTCTTGCGGACGCCGGGTCTGAAAGGGTTTAGATGTGAAGCATTATTGAAAAAGGCATTTGTGGAAGGGGTGCACTGTTGTTTTTTCTGTCTTTGTTGGCACTACATTTATACTTCCGTTGAGGAAGCAAGCTGGTGCGGAATCTCGGCAAGGAGTCCAATCGCGTGCCCATGTAAACGTGCACACAGACTCGTCTACCTTTCGTTACCTTGCCACCCTTGGTGTGTTCTCGTGTTTTTTTTTTATTTGTTTTGGCGTAATCCCGCCCGCCTGAATGGATGACGTCGACGACAACGACAACATGACACTACAGGCGATGCTCAAGCTCAGCAAGGAGTACAACGAGAGGGTGCAGGAGGAGGAAGGGAAGACGATGGATGAGCTGGCGGTGCTCAACGTCGGCAAGGTGGACCCAAAGCGGCACTTGGAGAACGACGTGTCAGAACTGATGGCGGCCAACATCGTGCAGTCCTTGGGGGTAATGCTCGACACTGTCATCTTTTGATATGCTAGATACATAATGTACGTACCTTGTGGCGCGTGATGATGGGCGTCGTTTCGACGGACGGACGCCGAGGGGGAGCATACTGTGGGAAGCGGACGTGTAGAGTTTGTGTCTGGTGCAGTCTGGTGGATGGCCATGCTTGACTTAATTCGCATTGAACGCAGTCACGCGGAGACACATGTGGTTCTTGGGACTCGGCCCTCTGAGTCTGGACATTTTAGGGTCCATCCGGACCTTCCCGTGTCTTATTGGCCTTGACTGTTGCTCCGGGGCGTTTGTTCTTCTGGTGTGGAACTATTCTTCGCCGACTGGAGTTTCTTGCAGCGGCCACGGTTCCTTGGCATGCCCTGCCAAGGAATTGGCCGACCAACTACTGTGGTGTGCATGCGCAACGGCACCACGCTGTCGAGGACCAGAGTTCCTTCTATCTTCGAAGGCGGGAATTCTCGTTTTTCTCCTTGCACACCGTCGTGCGCAAGCCCGCACCCTCGAAACTGCAGCGCCTTTTCGTTTTGTGCGTTGATGCTGCTGGGGAAGAATGGCAGATGCCAAAATGGCTTTCGTGTTGTGATGAACCCAAACGTAACCAGAACTTGCTGACCCTGCTGTATCTATTCTCAAGCCCCCTAGGGGATTTGAGTTTCAGTGCCCGCTTGCAATAAACCCTCTGAAGCTACATCGATGAAGCTAGATGTCCGGAGATGCTTTTTTGGAACACCCTTGATCTGCGCTAGAGGTACGCATTTTGCCCTCAAGTTTCGCACCCTCTTTGCACACTCGCGGGGCGGGTGCGCAAGCTGACCCTGCAGGAAAATGTTTTACTGCACTTGTTCGGTAAAGGTGAAACTAATAGAGGGCTGTGGTGAAGCTCGTGAGCGAACACCGACTGCGCATCCTCCCGAAGTCTCGTGGACGTTGCCATGTCTGTGCAATGGAGCAAACACTGCTTGCTGTAGCTACATGTAGCAGCTGCAGTGTTGAGCGTTGAACGAGGCCCTGAAAACAACCCCGGACAGACAGAGGCAGGATCTAGAGTGTTTTTTTTTTTTTTTTTGTCTTCACTTCAAATCAGCGCTCACAGCACTAGTGCCGTTTACTCCAACCCGTGGTCACACAGAAGAGCCCCTCTCTACCCTCCCCTCCAGCGGTACTTTGCCTTAGATTTTTAATGCGAGAAGAGTTCAGCACTCTCTTCCGTCTGTGTACACACCAACTAGCGCTGTCCACTCGGCCAGGAGCGGAAGCGAAAGAAAAACTCACTTTGCGAGAAAAGCTCGCTTATTACTTATTACGCCGGGATTCGAACCCATGACCTGACCACCGGGGCGACCAGTGTATCTACGGAGAAAGAGTGCTTTTGTTGTTGCTTGGGGCTCCCGCTGAGGCAATTGAGGCTGTCCTTTCGTTTGTTGTTGTATGCAAACGACTGGATGCTTGTTTCACGCAGCTCACATTGTTTTTGTCAGTAGATAGACTACATGACCCACAGCGAATCCATCTCTACCGAACTTGCCGCAACCATTGCACGCACAACAGCAGGTGTACTGTATGAGTGAGTGAGCGCACACCATGCTTGTTAGACTGCCAATATAATGCTCCTTGCTGCTGCCGTGTTGCTTTTCAGCAGCTCGCCGGCGGATCCGTCAGCGCTGCTGCTGTAGACTCTGCTGCTGTCTACATTGAGACTGCAGGCAGGAAGTCCGCGGTTCTGATCAGATCTTCTGTGAGCGGGGAAAAACAGAACACATCCCCCGAGAGGAGACGTATTTCGGTAAGTTATTGCGCCGATAGTCATCGTGAGCGGGGAAAAACAGAACAAATCCCCCGAGAGGAGACGCATGTATGTCGGTAAGTAATTGCACCGACCGATACATCGAATGGCGACCCCACCCGGTCGCTGCTGGAGCACACTCTTCTGGTGCTTGGAGAGAGCAAGACCTGTATCCACACAACCCACATCACTGCCGTGCTTCCGCTGCAGCAGATGAATTCACAAGCGCACTGCTGCCACAGCTCCCCAATTGTTGTTGTTGTTGTTGTTGTCTTTTTTCACATTAACCCTTTCGTGACTGGGTTCTTTCTGGATCTTCCGCGTTTTTTTTTGTTCTGCCGGGACCGAATAGACCGATGAGTCATGAGACACACACACACGACACCTGCACTTGAACGTTTGCACGTTTGTTTGCGCACCAACAGGTTCCCACATGGGTCAACCGCACGCACCCCATGGTGCCACAAAGGTTTAGTGCCCAACAGCAGCGTAACCCTCACGTGAAGAATGTGATGAGTGACCGATAACTACACTGACTGCTGTACTGCTGTATGTAGGTGCTGTCGGAAACCGGAGGAGAGAGAGAGGAGAGGGCGCCGTATTTCTTTACCCCAAACACGATTACATGGTGATAGTCTACATGGATACAGCAGCAGCAGTAGAGATACATCGCATGCACAGCAGTTCTACCCCGCCGCCGATGCAGCACACTGGCGCAAGGCATGGCACCGCCTCCAATGCCACTTGGTTGGGTGGTAAATCCAGCGGAGACAAGAAGCACACACGCACGCGGTTTGTTTGTTGGATGCATGCATGCGAAACGAAAATGAAAAAGCACCAGCAGCAGCAGCAGCAGCCCGCCGCAGCAGCAGCAGCAAGCACGAGCCGCGCGAGAGATAAACTATGCCTTGTGGTGGCGGTTGGTTGAAGACGGACAAGGAATACACTCGAACACACACGCGCGCAGGAGAACTCGGGGAGAGGCCTCGTAAGCTTGGCCTTCAGTTCTGCAACCACATTCCGAAGGCAAGGAAGAAGGCACACAAGTCAACAGCGAGAGCATGCTTTATCGTACCAGATAAAGACAGGTTTTATCATGCCTCCTATCGTGCCTGTAGTCACGAAAACCCTCTCAAAAACGCGAAGGCACGGGGGCGGGTGTCTCTTTTTGACACTTTGTCACTCCGCCACAGCCTGCCAGCACAACAGCAGCAACAACAGCAGTACAGCAGTACCAACATCACCACCATGGACCCAGAGGACATCGCTCAGTTCTGGGAGGCCAAAGCGGCTGAGTGGGACCCAGTGAATGCTCCCCTAGTTGTGTGGGACGAGCTGGTTCTCATCGCGGACACAACACCCCAGCTCCTGCCCGAGGCGACATCTGCTGCAGCCAGGGCGGTTGGGAAGCGGTTCTGCTGCCACGGGGACAACGAGCCCCAGCCCCTCCCAGACATAAGGGACCTGGCAGCAAGGAGGACCGCAGCTCAGCAGCACCCCGGACTCTGCGGGTACCACCACTCCCGCTTGGATCGGGGATGTAGATTTCTCAAAGGCAGCCGAGAGGAGCTCGGGGGGGCAGGTCACAGCGAAGCGTCTGAGGAATCAAGTAAGTATAGTACAATTGATATTTGGCAACCCCACAAATGATGGGCTGCTGACCCAGATCGGTTGTGCACCTGCTGTGCGCGTTGCACCTCGTGTATTATAGGTGTGCTTCACGTTCAGCTTTGTTTGACATGGTGGCTTGTAAGAGTGCTACAACAGCAGTACACTAGGCCCACAAACTTCAACCTGGACTAACGTGCGTGTGTTTTTCGAGCCTGCGGATCAATGCAGCTGCCAGACAGATCATATCACCACACGAAGTAGACAGGAAAGAGGGATGAGAGACCTGAAAGACGCGTTTACAGCAACCCTATCCCTATGAACCTCCGCAATGCTCAGCAAATGCTCTGGAAAGACAAGCGGCGCCCAGCGCGTCGACTCCCCTTTTGAGACAGATATGGTGTTATCTTCCGTATCAGTTAGGTTGGAGACTCTCCCATTTCGTACGAATAGGCTGGCAGCCCGCAGCTTTGTACTCCCCCGCATTAGACAGTAGTAGGGGTAACGATGTACTGGGGAGGCCGAGCATAATTTTCTGTCTTGTCCGAAGTTAGGTTTTGTAATCCGAACGGGCGGTTAGTAGTCCGAACGGAGAAAAAGACGCACGCGCCGCCCCATTGCGTGAACGTCTGTCTCTCACAGATACTGCATGCCACGTAACGTTTGTTGGCTCTCCATTTTCCCACGAAAGACTGGAGTGCACGCTCTAAAAAAACAAGCCTACGTCGTCGTTTTTTCCCCCGCAACGTGCAGGCTTCGTTCGACGTGAGCACCCGCCTCAACGCGAGGGGTCGTGGCGTTCAAATCACGAGGAGGGACTGCTTCACGCAGGCGTGCCGCGCGGTGTGGCCGGGAGACGAAGCCATACCAGCGGCCATTGCGGAGGCATTGTCGTGATTCTCGAGCGCGTGTTTTAGGCTGATCATGGAGCCTGAGGGGTGGGGTGGGGGGGTGGAGAGGGTTTCGTACTTACAAGAGTTTCGAGCAGACCCTCAAGGTTTGCGCTTGGCTAGTTTGCAGGGCGTCGTGCCCCCGCATGACTTTGAGTTCGCTGGGTTTGTCGTTCAATTCGCTGGGGTTATTTGGAGAAAGAGTGCTGCAAGGCACAACTCGGTGGAACAACCGATGGTGCAATGGTGTGATCTGAAAATTCCGTATGTTTCGTCGCATGTTGCAGGCGCACTCGCCGGGAGATGTGTATTGCATTTTCGCAGAGATCAGCGCCTTGGTTTCGAGATGAAGAAATGGAATAAACATGGAACAAATGATCTTGCAAGTATTCACGACTTGATCGCATGAAGGTCTCCGGAATGTCTGTCATTGGCACACGGTTGGATTCCGATGCCGTTTGCGGTCTCTGAACTACTGGTGAGCACCACCGGCACGTGGTGTGTATGACGTTGTCGCACGAAAGGACTAGACTACACCGCACGCAGTGAAAAAACTAAAGTGCCAGGAAAACGTTGTTTATCTAGATGCCGAAGACTTCTTTCGATTTTATCTGCAAACCTTGGTATCTGCAAACCTTGTACACTTCGTACTCCATTCCTTGTCTACGTGCGAACATGTCTGTCGACCAAAGCACGGGATACCGACGCCAAACCTAAGGCTCTTGCCACATAGGTTTCGGGTTAAAAACGACACACAACGAGCGATACACGAGCCGTGGCTAATCGCAACAACACTGACAGTAGTTACAAGCGAATGGGGGCTAAAGGGGGGGGGGCTAAAAACTCACTACCGCAGGTGACACCGCCGGCGCCCACCAACAGTTGCCCGACAAGC